GTACCTTCTTTTCTGCAAAGAATCTAAATTCTCCTTCATATATGATGGAGAGCTTTGCTGAGTATAGGACCCTTGGCTGGCAATTTTTTTTTCTTTCAACTTTCTGTACATACCATCCCGTTGTCTTCTAGCTTGCATGGTTTCCACTGAGAAACCAGAACTTATTCTAGTTATTTCCTTTTTGTAGATGACTCTGTTTTTCTTGTGCTGCTTTTAGAATTCTTTCCATATCTTTTAATTTGGATAATTTGACTATGATATGTCTTGATGTTTTCTTCTGGGATCTAGTCTATTTGGTGTTCGCTGTGCTTCTTGAATGTAGTTTTCTCTGTTCTTCAAAATACCTGGAAATTTTTCTTCTAGTACTTCTTCCACAATTTTCTCCATGACATCTCTGTCCCTCCCATATTCTGGAATTCCAATCATATGTATGTTGTTCCTTTTGATGTCATTCCATATAGATCTTTTGTTTTCTTCATTTTCTTTACATCTCATCTCTGATTTTTCTTCTGATGTTTCCAGTAAGATTCTTCTTGTCTTCCAACTCACTGACTCTCTTCATTTCTACTTTTTGTCGCACTAGCATGTTGGACACTTCTGCTAATTTAGTCTTAATATTCTGGATTTCACTTTCATGCTTTTCTGTTCTTTCCAGTACTGTGTTGGCTGTACTCTCTATGTCTTGTGATGATTTTTCAAGTTTTTGTACCTCTTTATCTATACTATCAATTCTTTCTTCTATCTTTTGCATTTTATTCAGCAGCTGTTCACGTTGTACCTCATTAATATATTTCTTCTGGGTCACTGTCTCTGGGGTATTTGCTCTTTTTTTTTTAACTGAAATTTTAATGAAAGTTTATATAAACTGGATTTACATTCATTCATTGTTGCACATTTTCCTCCCTGCTCACCCCTCTCCCCAGCTGTTTTTTCTCTTTGAAAAGTAAAAAAAAAAACCAAAAACCCAAAACAAACAAACCAAAAAAACCACACACACAAAATTTTCATTATTATACAATCCCCCTTCACAAGTCTACTCCCCATGAAGCTCTCATTCTGGACACTTGTCATGAAAATAATACCTAATCATATATTCCTTTCAAACAGTTCTCTCCTTCATCTGTTTCAATGCAGTAATGAAATTATACATTATTTAAACCCTCTTTTCTTAGATTCCCCCAACCCTGATGTCAGTCCTATTTTATAACAGTGGCATTATGCAGTGTTTGTACCTTTGTGACTGAGATATTTCACTCAGTATAATATCCTCCAGGGTCACCCATTTTGTATAATATTTCATGAGTTCCTTGCTTTTCAATACAGCATAGTATTCCAGTGTGTGAATATACCACAGCTTCTTTATCCATTTGTTTGTTGATGGGTACTTGGGTCATTTCCAACTCTTTGCTATTGTGAACAAAGGAGCAATGATTATGGGTGTGCATATATCTGCTTGGGTGGCAGTTATGGTTTCTTTAGAGTATATTCCCTGTAGTGGAATTGCTGGGTCAAATGGTGTTTCTATTTCCAACTTTTTGAGAAAGCGCCAGGCTGCCTTCCATAGTGGTTGCACCATTTTACACTACCACCAACAATGAATATGTGTTCCAATTTCTCCACAACCTTGCCAACATTTGTTGTTTGCTGTTCTGTCAAACTTTGCTAATCTTAATGGGGTTAGATAATATCTCATAGTTGTTGTGATTTGCATTTCTCTTAGAGCAAGGGATTTTGAAAATTTCTTCATATGTTTGCCATCTGAATGTCTTCTTTGGTGAAGTGTCTGTTCATATCCTGTGTTCATTTTGCAGTTTTGTTTACCTTTATCTTTTTGTGGTAGTTATTTGCTCATGTAATGGCTTCCATTGTTTCTTCCATCATTTGAATCTTCAGTAGCTGTTCAAATAATTCCCCATCAATATATTTCTTCTGGTTCTATCCGGAGTATTGCTTGGTGTCCCTTATTAATAGAAGGATTATTTTGCTTTTTTTACCCCATGATGACTAAGTCGGACTGTTGCTTTCTTGACTTTATGTGAGTCTTTTCTTAGTAGGCGTTTACTTGGTGTAACTATATAGTGACCCAGGGTACGGCAATGTTTTGTGAAATACCTATATATTTGTGCTCCCCTCTTGGGGAACACAATCTGAAGCAGGATGACTATTACCCTCTAGAAAACTAAGCATGCCCCAGCCTCTACCATTTGAGCTTAAGGAATCACAAATGATGTACCTAGACAGCACTGTTTAACCAAAGTACCTGAATGGCAGAACAGGGAAGTCTCTTAACTTTCAGAAACCGTAGTTTGACCCAGCCTCTTCTGATCGAGCTTAAGGAGTCCTATGTGATGTAGCTAGACAGCAGTGTTTAACCTAATGTACCTGAATCTCTCCTTGTTCTTTAAAAGTATGATTTACCTTATTTTTTGTTTTGTCATTAAAAATGCACATAGCAGCATATATACCAATTAAAAAATTTCTACATGTACAATTAGTAATGTTGCATAATATTGTTCAAATTATATAGACATCCTCATCCATTTGTTGTATGCTGTTCATCTTTCATTAACTCACTATCCACCTCCTAAGTTTCCTAGATAATCTTTGAAGTTATTTTTGTCATTTTTATCTCTTATGGCTAGATCTTGAAAGAATACAAGGTAGACATAAAATTCTAGGGGGACTATTTTGTGGTTAAGGTCTAAAGATAATCTTGGCACACTAGTTTTGGCAGTTTATCAAGCTTCAAAAACTCAGAAAGTCTGGATACTATGGGAATTTAAATTTGTGTTTTGCATTTTCTACTTTAATTAGAATTATTTATTATTTCTTAATGTTGTTTTAAAATCTTTAATTAGCTGATGGAATATCCCTATCTGTTCTGAATCTGTTACTCCCAAGAATGAGACTAGAATTTTTCTCCTAGGAGCAACTACTTCTGAAGATAATAATTGGGGCTCCTTGTATAAACAGTTGGTCATAATGACATAAAGAATGGTGATTCAGTCAAAACCAGAGTGGAGTATCATGTATATTTGTTATGTGAACACTCTTACCGTGGGAAGTTTTACCTTAACTTTATATTGAGGTCCCATATTCTTAGAGAAATAATGGTTAAATTAACAAATCATGACAAACCAAATCCTCAGATCTCTTTTCTTGAGAGTAGTTTAAACATGTATTAAATATTGTCTTCAGAAGATGACTATACTAAACTACTATATACTGTATATACTATACTGCACTAAAATAATTGGCAAAAAAAAGGCTCCAGGAGTTGCCAGCATACAAATTGATTCATTTCAACAAACAGATGCTGCCCTGGATGTGCTCACTAAGTTGTGCCAAGAAATCTGGAAGACAGTCAACCTGCCAACTGACTGAAAAAGAGCAGTATTTGTTCCTGTTCCAAAGAAAGGTGGCTCAACAGTGTATGGGAATTATTGAACAATATCATTAATATCACATGCAAGCAAGATTCTGCTGAAAATTATTCAAAAACGATGGGAGCAATATGTCAACAGAGACATGCCAGATGTGCAGGCTGGATTTAGAAGAGGTTGTGGTACTAGGGATATTATAGCTAATGTTAGATGGATCTTGGCAGAAAGCAGAGAATACAAGAGGAATGTCTATCTGTGCTTCATTAACTATGCAAAGGTTTTTTACTATGTGTATCACAACAAGCTATGGCTGACTCTGAGAAGAATGGGAATCCCAGAACATTTGATTGTGCTTGTGTGAAACCTATACTTGGACCAAGAGGCAGTCGTCATAACAAAGCAAGGAGACATTATATCATTCAAAATCAAGATGTATTTTGTCTCCATAACTTTTCAATCTGTATGCAGAAAAGATCATCCGAGATGCTGGGCTGTACAAGGAGGAATGTGGCATCAGGATTGGTGGAAGAGTCATCAACAACCTGCGTTATGCAGATGACACAACCCTGCTTCCTGAAACTGAGGAAGACCTGAAGCTCTTGCTGCAGAAGGTCAAGGACTGCAGCCTTCAATACATATTGAAGCTCAACATCAAGAAAACAAAGATTCTCTCACCACTGGACTAATTGGCAGCATTAGTATGAATGGTGAAGAGATTGAGATAGTTAACAGTTTGTTTACTTGGCTCCACAGTCAACACTCTTGGTAACAGCAGCCAGGAAATCAAGAGACAAATAGCATTAGGGAAGTCAGCTGTGAGGGACCTCTCAAGAGTACTGAGGAGCAACAACTTTAGGCTGGAGACTAAGGTGTACCTGATCCAGGCTATAGTCTTCGCAATTACGTGCTATGTGTCGGAGAGTTAGACAGTGACTAGGGATGACAGAAAGAGACAGCCTTTGAGCTGTGGTGCTAGAGAAGAGTATTGAATATACCATGGACTGCTAGGAGAACTAACAGGTTTGTCCTGGAGAGGGTAAAGCCAGAATGCTCCTTGGAGTCAAGGATTCTGAAGCTTTATCTGACCGACTTTAGACATGTTGCAAGGACACCATGTTTGGGAGCGTAGAGGGACAGCATAGGAGAGGAAGACCCTTGATGAGATGGACAGATTCTGTGAGTCGGGTGGTGAGAATGAGTGTGTTTGAGACGGTGAGGTTGGCACAGGATAGAGCACCGTTTAGGGCTCTTGTACATAGGGTCACTATTAGTTGCAGTCAACTCGATGGCACATAACAACAACAACAACTGAAATAATCAAGTGAGAATGATGGCTTTGTGACAGGGGGAGGTAATTATTTCCTTTCTATCTTATAAATTTTGGATAGCTTTGCTAGATCTATTTTAGAAAGTGGCAACTTTCTTCAGAGTTGTTTTGAAAAGTGAGGCACACCCAGGGAAATAGTTCAACTTTTTTTTTTTAAAGGATAGCCACAACAGCTAAAATGACTTGAGAACTTTGGGTCACCAAATAAAAATTGTTGTTGAGTCTCAAGGGTAATAGTTCTCCTTCTTATGTATGTATGAACCTTTTTTTTGTTTCTTTTTAATAAACAGGGGATGGAGAATTGTCATGGGAACATTCTGATGGTGATATCTTCCGGCAACCTGCCAACAGAGAAGCAGTAAGTGTGAATAGCTCAAATAATTTCAACACTCCACAAGATCAGGCCAAACTTTCCTCTCTCCATGGCTACTATCCCAGCAGAGCCATATAAGGGCTCATTTTTAACACTATTTTTTTCCCTTCTTCATCAGCAATTTAAATGGCCTCATCAACAACCTGTAACCATATATGTGTACTATTTTATTTGCAACTGGAGTCAAGGCATAGAACACAAAGAAACCCTAAACTCAGACCTAAGAAATCCTTAATCTAGGTCAGAAGCTAATACCCTCTCAGAATGACTGGCCTCATCTTCTTGTCCTTTATAAGGAATCTAGGCCATTGTCCCTATCCATCTTCATGGCAATGAATCGGATTGTTTTGGGGTTTTTTGTTTTGTTTTAGTTGACCCCTGTCCTCAATCCTGAGAACGTTCTGTGATATGTTTAAGGTATCCAAGCCCATCCTTTTAGCAGAAGTATTTCTGACATGTCCACATAAACCCTCTTCTAAGCCTTTGACTCTTGGTCATGAAAACTAAGAAAGGGAAAATGGCAAGCCTGATTCTCCTTCTTCCACTGTGTAACATCTTCTCATTTTAATTCTAGGCATTAAGCTCAGAATAAACCTTATTAAGACATCTCTATATATAGTAATAGTGTATCTTGTTTATTTGTATTTCTAGGTAATTAACAGAATGTTGTTGTTTTTGTGTAACATCAAGTAAGAACCTACCCATAGCTGAACCTCCAGTGGGTTTTCAAAGGCAGTTAACATGGGAGGTGATTGCCCATCCTTCCTCTGCATAGAAATTGGTGGATTTGAACTGTGTGCCTTCAGAATTACAGCACAGATTCTTACCAGTAGGCCACCAGAGCTCCCTCATTAGCAATATAGAGTTCCTGTGTTTAAAAATATACTTAAGTAGTATTGCAGAACCCTGGTGGCATAATACATTATGTGATGGGCTGCTAAGCAAGAGTTTGGAAGTTGAAATCAAGCAGCTGCTCCATGGGAGATAGTTTTACAACCTCAGAAACCCAGTGGATAGTCACCATCAGTCAGAATCATCTTGATGGCTGTGGATTTTTTTTAGTAGCGTGATATTTCACACTTCCTAAAATCTAAAAAGGAGATGTTCTTATTCAAAGAATCTATCTTAAGTGAAAGGACTCTTTAAAAGTATACAAAGGTATCAGTTACATAATAAGAGTGTTAATTACATCCTTGAACACAAAAATATGCAGAAATGTCCAAGGTAGAAAATGGAGGGGGAAATGAAACAACTAAATACCTATTAACAGAGAATTGATTGTTGTTGTTGCTGTTGATTACTGTTGTGTTAAGCATGACCCTATGAGCAAAAGGCCTGAAGCCCGTCTATAACTATCGTCATTTATCAAAGTTCACAGTTTCCAGAGGCAGGTTGTTTAGGGAGTGGATGACTTGATTAACTAAACCAAAAATCTATAAGACATTTGGGAAAAAAGAATACAATACTTCTCAACGTATTAAAATGGAGGACTTTGCAAGGTCTGTTATGTAAGCAAAGCAAGGTACAAGATAAAATTTACACTAATGTTTCCTTATGTAAAAATGTGTATGTGTGCATAAATGTATATTTAAAAATCTGGAAGATCATGCACAGAAATGTTAAGAATGGGAATCTCAGAGGGATATATTTTGGTGGGAGAAAGGTATTTTTTTTGTTTCCTTATTATTTGATGTTTTTCAATGATAATAAATACAATCTAAATGATGTCCTAAAACCTTCGCAAGTAGTTCACAGCAAGCATTGACTATAAAGCAGAAGTCTAGAGAATTACAAGGCAGACTTCTTAGAGATGTGCTGGTGTTATATGCCATCAAGTCAGAGCTGACTCATAGATGACACTCCAGTGGGTTTTCAGAGGCTGTAAATTACATCACATGGGAGGAGATGGTTCATCTTTCTTCCCTTGAGCAGCTGATATATTTGAACCTGTGTCCTTGGGTTGGAGATTCCTATTTAGGGATAGTGAGGGTTACTCTTGACTTTCAGGCCTCCAAATTGCCATCACAAAACCCAAGCAGTAAGATGGAATGATTTCTAGTTGCTTTACTTTCTGATAGTACTATTTACTGGCCATGTCTGTTTCTGGAATGATTGGGTGGCAAGGCAAATAGTATTCTGGAGAGAAAGCAGCGTGCTTGCAAGAGGATGGACTTCCCAGTCGTTTGACTCAGACCATGAGGAAAGATTTCTCTATCCAGCTCCATCTGCTTTATAGTAAAGTGAAATTCCTTCCAGATCCTGACAGAAGATGAAGCTAGTCAAGTTTTCAGTATTGTGAGTTTCCTCTTTTATTTAGCCTCATTTTCTCATTGTAGAAGAAAGTGGAGAATGTTTAAATTAGCACTTGTCAATCTGATACCACATTCAGGGCCTAGTCACTTTAAGCTGTGTGCCTTGCATTCAAGTATAAGTGCCCCCCAACTACATACACTGTGGTTTTTGCAAAAGTCTTGCTGGCAATGTCATTAATTAGCCTTTCTCCTTAACTTTGTCTTACATTGCCCCCAATTCAGCCCCTTGTCTTTTGGCTTCATTGTTCTTAAACTGCTAGTGATAGGGTTGAACTTAATGTGGTATTTCCCTTAGCAAAAGAGGTCAGGAACAGAATCCAGGACCTTGAAATAGTTATTGATTTTCAAAGGCGTTCAAGACCTATCTTTAGAAACAAACATTTGGGTCTTGTAGACCAAAATGGCCAGATGTTTCCACTTTATTCTAAATAAATATTTTCCTTTGTTCTTAAAGGGGTAGATACTGTGGGATATTATTTGAATAATAAATAGCATCTGTAATAACGGAAAAGCATGCACCTGGCACATAGTAGGCACCCAATAAATATGTGTTGAATGTAAGGGTGTGGAAGGTTGACTGAAATGCAGTGGAAAAGGGATTCCATTACTTTTAATGCACAAAAATCTATCCCAAATCAAAGAGCAATTTTTCAGACTTTGTGTTTGACCAACCTGAAAACAGAACGTAGGAGAATCTCTTTTGAATATACTTTGCAGGTTGCACTTCCTACATGGAAGGCAAAAATCAGTGCTAACATCGAGAGTTGTGCTGCAAACCCAAAAACCATGCTTCTCTCAGGGTTTGAATGCATCTGTGGCTCCACAGGAAAAAGATGGACAATCTCCTCTTTTGTGGTGTACAGCCTCAGAAATCCAATAGAGGGTCAGCTATGAGTCAGTTCCAACTCCAAAGCAGTAAGAGTAATGCCACAATCCCTATAGTGCTTCAGTAGACTGTTCATATTTGCCTCAATCTTCAGTTTAATAGAAACACAACTGATTGGTTTATTTGGTCAAGTGAGCAGAAAGACATCTGTTTACCAAGCATCCCCAGGTACGTAGGAAAATGAATCAATGGTTCAAATATGACTCTTTGGTCAAAAATATTAAACATTTTTGGTTCAATTTAGAGATAGCAATTTTACATGATCTGATCCTAGTGACAATTGAGAGTGATAGAGATAGGGATGAGGTGGAGAGAGAGAGAGGGAAAGAGGGACTGAGATAGAATTGAGGGCAGGGTAGAAAGCCAAAACATTCAGGAAAACATAGTTTTGTTTTGGAAAACTACCAAACTGATGTGTGCCCCCAGTAGATTACATAAAGACTTACCACTAGAAAAGTGAAGGAGTTCTAGAAACAATATGAAACAAATAAAAATTCATGTCTCATTTATATTGTCAGAACAGTGGTTTGTGAAGGAAACTGACCTAGGTTCTTCAGAGAAGCACAGTTCTAGGTTACCAGTGACTTAGAATGTTTTCATGGATTTGTGGATTAGAACACATTCAGAAGGTTCTTTTTTTTTTTAAAAAAAAAAACCCACCTGTTGGTTAATTATAGATAATTGTAAATGAGAAAATGGTAGATTCACATGAGAAATAAAGAAATCTTGCATGCCTTTCACCAGTTTCTCTCAATGGTAACATCTTACAAAACTAGAATATAGTTCCACCAAACTATTGACATGAAGGAACTTTAAGGCCCTGTCTGGACTTTGATACTCTCTTGTCTCTATCAGTAAAACCATTATGTCTTAGACATTAGAATCAGCAAGGTTCCTAGGATATCTCCAAAAATAGCAAGGATTTTTCAACCCCAAAAAAGAGTTATAGGCAGTCTTCAGATTACAAAAAAGTTCCAATCCTAAATCTGGCTTTAAGTCCAGTACATATGTCCAAACAGTGTGGTATAGATTTTATCTAACATAAGTTAGTCAATTGTATGTATTAATATGTTGTTGTTGTCATCATGTGCTGTTGAGTTGCTTGTGACTCATAGCGAACCTATGTACAAGAGCCCTGAAACCTGCTCTATCCTGTGCCAACTTTACTGTCTATGACACACCTACCCTCATGATCCCAGTCACTGAATCAATCCATCTCATCAATAGTCTTCCTCTCTTTCTCATCCCTCCACCTTTCCAAGCATGATGTCCCTCTGCAAGGACTGGTCCCTCATTGCAACATGATCTGAAGTATGTCAAATGAATTCTCAGAATCCTTGCCTCCAAAGCAAGTCTGGTTTCACCCTCTCCAGAATGAATCTGTTCTTTCTCCTGGCAGTCCATACTATATTCAACACTCTTCTCCAGCACCACAGCTCAAAGGAATCAATTCTCTTTTTATCATCCCTAGTCATTGTCCAGCTTTCTGATGCATAGTAAGCAATTGTGAACACTATGGCCTGGACCAGGCTCACCTTAGTCTCCACACTGACATTACTCTTCAGTTCTCTGGAGAGATCTCTGACAGCCAACTTCCCCAATGCAATTTGTCTCTTGATTTCCTGGCTGCTGGTACCAAGAGTCTTGATTATGAAGCCAAGCTAACTAAAGCTGTTAACAATCTCAATATCTTCACCATTTATCATGATGTGGCCAATTGGCCAAGTGGTGGGAATGTTTTCTTGATATTAAGTTTCATTCCATATTGAAGGCCACAGTGCCTGACC